GAGGACCGTTCTGAATCTGTCGATAGTTGTTCCCGAGGAGGAGTCGTAAAGCGCGCTTAATAGTCCAAATTGCTTTCATCGATCGCGAGCTGGAGGAACACTGGAATCCTAGGTAGCCGTGGGTCGATGCGACAGTTTAGCCTCTCGCGAGGTGAAGAGGAAGAGAAGAAGGGTCGAGATTCGAGGGCTGGCCATCAGATAGCTCTACCCTTAATGTCCTCCTCCGAGACGGGATCCTGGCACCCCTTCGACTCTCCTTTAGTCCCACCAGCCCGTCATACACGCGCTATTGCGTTGCTGCTCTCGTGCAGACCCGGTGAAGATCTCGTAGAGATCTCGTGGAGATATCGTGGAAATCTCGTGGAAATCTGGTGGAATTTGAGCAACGAGCCTAGGGTTGACCAGAACTTCAGGACAATAGCCTCGTACCAGGTGATTTACATTTTTCGAAGCTGGTCGTGCCGCGAAAGAAGCTTTCGATCACGCTCACGGTGATCCTCGAGAGGATTGTTGGATGTTTCTTAAGATGAGCGCGAGTCGAAGGCGAAAACGACACCGTTTAAGCCGCTAGGATGGAACGGAGTCCGACTTGCACCGAATACCTTGTAATTTTCCACTTTCTATTCGATCTAAGCTAATTAATTTACCTCCAATTAATTACCGACAATTGCTCCCGCTCTAATTACGCGCGCTCGATTAGAATCTACGAAAGTTTACGGCCGAACGGGGCGATCTTAACGTCTCAGGTTTTGCATGTGATTTCTCCCTAATGATAGGAGGCGCAAGCGTACACCTAAATGCACGAAACGAATCTGCACAGCGATGTTCGCGTGTGTTTAAGCTCATACGGCATACATTGTAACCTAAAACATTTTCGAGTTGCAATCGGCAATGGTGGATTTGCCGTAGCGTGGCCGCGAATCTCGCGACCGCTAAATTATCTTCACAGTTTCTGATTCGCATTAATTGCTCGACTAATTAAGAAACCGGAGAACGCGTCTCGTTAGCGCGCAGCGAACAAGTTCGACGGAAAGTGAGTGGTGTATGAAACGAAATAATATTTCAAAGCAACCTCGCGGAATCGATTAATTCGTCTATCCACAGCGGAGGACGATGCGAGAACGTAGCACTGAAAATCCGGCAGAAAATACCCTGTCGTCGGGCATAATCGCGTTTTCCCCGATGTATCCTGCCGGGAATCGATCAAATTAATCCGGCCGCATGCAAAGCGATTCCTTGTTTGCCCGCGCCATTCCCGATTGACGCGCGCCGATCATCGCGATCCTTCTGCCATTCGCTCTATTCGGCTGTATGCAAATCGCACGGGAATGATCGAGGGCCCTAATCCGATCAAACATCTCTGTCGATTCGAAAACCTGTCCGTTGTTCCACGCGACGAGCGCACGAGAGCGTTTCGAGATCGCTGCAACCGAGCCTTCGCAATCATTTTTTCCCATTTCTTTCGCAGAAGATTCGAGACGAAGAGAAGAACGTGGTGGAAGAAAGCGAGGATCTCGTGGAGAGTGAAAGAGAGAGAGAAAGAGCGTGAGCAGGCTGTGGCAGATGAAGGCTGCTTTGTAGAACGATATCACTAAGTGGAAATCAGTGGCCGGGTGGCGCCTCCGCCCTCTGCCCTTAAGGGCTCCTCTCGTTCACGCTCCTGGAATCGCGACGGCGAACCGCTACCGGGAACTTGCTAACTTCATTAAAATATTGCCATCAACACCGAGCCCCATTGTCTCAGGGCTTAACCGGCCGATTAAGCCTGTTCACCGTCCCTCCAACGGGAACAGTAGCTGCATTTTCTTCCTGTCTCGCAAAAAGTCGCCCCAAAAGCATCCTCAATCTCTCCAACCTCGTGACCAAGCTGTTTCGCTTCGTCTATCGATTCTTCCTTATCGCTTCTATCGATTCTCCGAAATCGTACTACATTCGCCATTGAATAACCAGACTGGTGTAACCAAAACACGGTGCGACGACATCTTCGACACTTCTAAAAGGTCTACTTCTATTTCCATGGCTGTTAATTAAATGGCACTGCGTGGTAGTACAATAAGTCGCGTCGTCGTGCTTTTCGCATCGTGTTAATGATTGATATCTATCTTACGATTACGATGATCGTTTTTCTTTATCATCCTACCTTGCTTTGTTTCCATACGTTTCCTTTGTCATGCTATCATACGCAATCCCATTTATAAATGCTCATGACACTCTCAGCCGATAATGAAAATTCGTATTCTCTATCCTTGTCTCTGCGATACAGAAGGTGATCCTGTTGTGATACTACGATCAATCCGCTATACCCTGCACTTCTCATCTCTGCACGATAGTTTCTCTTTTAAATACGACTACCTAATCCACCTTCCTTTCGAAATACTCTCCAGCTATGCACCGTTGAACACGCGATTCCTCTCTTCAAAACCGCTTGTATTTCGTTTAATCGTCCATCTCTTTCCTTTATTATCTGCAACAAAAATGTGAAAATAAGTATCCTTCGACCGCTCCTCTACTCTTGCAATAACAAAGCAAACAGCGGCATGATTTTTCAAATCGATATTCACTTACTCGTTCCTGCTCACTTCGTTGTCGATAATAGCGGTATCTTCCTATGCATCGATTGCTTCGTTCCACCATTTCTCCCACTCGTCACTAATTCCGGGAAGCACCGTGGTAACACGATGCACTGGAAACAAAGCGCACGTACTAACGGAACAAACGATCTGTAGAGGTTCCAACTTGTCCCGTGCGATGGAGGGAGGGTGCAAGGTCAATGGCTAGCCTCGCTTAACCTAGCAACGTGGCCGCAGTCTAGCGCCACGCTCCACTAATTTAATGACTGGCGTAAAACGATGCGATATAGCCGTGTAATAATCGAGAAAAAATATCGTCCGGAAGTGACGAAGAATACCAAAGGAATATCGTGCAAGTCCGAATTAGAAAGTTTGAGGCGACGCAAGACCTCCTAGGAGAAGATCGACGGCTGGAATGCCAGACGTTTTGCACGTACGAACGACAGATGGAGCTAATGGCAGCAGGCCGAGCGAAACGGATGACAAAGAGGCTTTAACGATGGCCACGGTGTGCTCGGTTGAGTGACGCAGGACACGAGCCCGCGGCCCTTCTTTCCTCTCCTTTAAGAGACGAGAAAACGAGCACGCGTGTACGCTGGGGAGAACGAGCAACGAACAGGGACCACGCACGTCGTACGAAGAAGCTGCTCGTTCCTGTGCGGTTTTTTGCCGCAACTGTAATTGAGCCTGTCTCGTCGGGCTACCGTCTAAATGAATTACGAGGCGCCGTGCACGGCACGAGCCCGATCCCCGGGGCCAGTTCGACTTTTTTTCGGAAACCGCGACGATTCTTGCTCATTGCTACGGGGATTTCCCGCTATATTACATATTTTTTTTCTTTTTCTTTTTATTCTTTTGCAATGGTGGTTGATCTCTTTTAGTTGGACGAAACTCGAGAGTCTCGGGAGTGAGTTGTTAAGTAGGAAGCAGTATCATGCGGATGCGCTTACAAAGAATGCCTTTGTGATTATGATTCACAGTTCGTCGCTAATTAAGCGCAGCCTGAAAAATCATATTCCACGAAGAGGAATAGCGAGCGGGCGGCTCGATCAAAGCGACGAGGGAAATCGCAAGCTGGTTGCAATTAACCGCGGTATGAGGAAAAAAGACTGGGCCACGGCGGTCTCCCATAAATCGTGTACGAACGAGGTCTGATTCTTTGAAAACAGTAACACTATTTATTTCATTGTGCTGGTTAATTTACTGAAAAGAATGGAAGAGTCAAACGGTATATCGAACAAGATGAAAATTATAGCTTATTATTGCTTGATTTTATAGCTTTAGAAAGAAATTGAAGACCTGACATCTGACGTTGATATTTGAAATTAATTTCGTACTTTACTGGGTCGATTATTTATTACCGATTATTACGGTTACCGACCGGACATAGTAAGAATTATTGGTTGATAACATTACTGACTTTATCATAGAGGAACGAGTACTAAGAAATATCGATAGATGGCACTAGTTTCTAGATTTCAAATTCAAACTACGCGCTCAAGTAAATGGCGTCATATCTCGATTTCATTCGAAAGCAAATGAGAAGTAATTTATCCCATATATTTGTTATGAATTACGAAATAGTAATCACAAAATCAACTAAACGTGTAAATTATTCTTAAGATAAAAGAGTTCTAAAGATTTTTCGTATTAATTATTAAAAATTATCCACGTTCATGTGTTTCATATGTTCGGTATATATATAAATATAAATATATATTTTAATATATATTTATTAACAAACATTATTTGTATAAAAAATATTACAAATAAATAAAAAAAAATACACTAGACTTACAGATTTTGTTGAGTCCACTCCACGATGGATGCATTTCTCGCGTAAATTTTTCCAGGTATCTATTATGAAAATTGTCCAAGTTTAGTGCAATGTAGTACTTATATACCAATGTTTGATAATGTGATCAAAATTAATTGTATAGAAAAATGTTTCTAGATATTTGAATAAAACTTACCATCATTCACTTGCATCAAGAACACAAATTTGAACACAAAATTAAACATAAATTTCATTCTTACACCTTAGTACACGTCTGTACTGGATAACGGAAAATTTTAAACTAATTTTTAAGTTTACTCGTCGAAGATACTGATATTGTTCAAACGCTATGATTGGCCCGTCTCAACCAACTGGACCAATCACATTATTGCTTGAATACATGTGGAAAATGTATAAGAATATAGTTGATATAGAATACCTTAATAATTGTTTCATTCTCTAATTTATTGAAAAAATACTTAATGAGACAAAATTATTAAATTTTAATGTCGTGCAGGTTATTTAACTATAAAGCATATTTTTTGTTGATATTATATGAACACGTGTGGAATTGGTATAACCTAGAAACTTTTGTTTTATTAATAGAAATTAAGAAATAAGTGAAGAAAAAGAAATTTATTTAAAAAATCAAAATGTTGCGAAGACAGGCAAGACTTCGTAGAGAATATCTTTACAGAAAATCAGTTCAAGATAAATTAAAAAGTATTCAAGAAAAAAAAGAAAAACTTAAACGTAGCCTGGAAGAAAATATACCAATACATCCAGACCTAAGAAAAAATGCCTTGAATATACAGAAACAATTAGCTTGGGAAGATGCTGGACCTGAAATGGCTGTTGCAGTTGGTACAGAAATGGGAGGAACTTTAGGATCTCATGAAGATGATGAGTATCGATGGGCTGGAGTTGAAGATCCAAAAATTATAATCACAACTTCTCGTGATCCAAGTTCCAGATTAAAAATGTTTGTTAAAGAATTACGATTAATATTTCCCAATTCTCAAAGAATGAATCGAGGAAACTATGAGATGAAACAATTAATTCATGCCTGCAGAGCAAACGATGTTACAGACTTCATAATTGTACATGAACATAGAGGTGTGCCTGATTCTCTTATTATTTGTCATCTACCTTATGGACCCACTGCATATTTTACAATGTCGGATGTTATAATGAGACATGATATACCAGATATTGGAACAATGTCTGAACAATATCCTCATCTTATATTTCATAATTTTAAAACAAATTTAGGTGAACGTGTCATGAATATTTTAAAGTATTTATTCCCAGTACCAAAGGAAGATAGCAAAAGAATAATGACTTTTGCTAATCATGATGATTACATATCATTTCGCCATCATACCTATAAAAAGGGTCATGGAAAAGACATTGAATTAACAGAAGTTGGACCCAGGTTTCAGTTGAAACTGTTTGAAATTAAATTAGGCACTTTAGATGCAGAAGCTGCAGCTGATACAGAATGGGCATTAAGACCTTACATGAATACTAGTCATAAGAGAAGATTTTTATCAGATATAGATGGATGGCAACAAGAGGATGATATTTGAATATTTTACATCCTGCAATTAATTTTAACAATCAAATCCAAATAATGTAAATAATAAATTTTTATACAAGATACTTTTACTTATTTTTCGAAACATTATGAACTATTGATTATACTTTGCGGATTTGATAATTTATGCTATATTTACATACATGTATTTTTCAAAGAGGGTAAAATATTTTGAAATTTCGCGCGTTGCATGCTAAATGCGTTTCATTCACGCTGCGCAGTGCATTCTGGTTTTCTTCGTGGCAGTTGTTTTTAAAAAGGTCTGGGTAATAAACGAAGATTGAGTTGTAGAGGAAAATTCCTATTGGAAAGTAGTGTCCAAAATTTTACAAATGTATCAAAAGAGCATAAACTTATTAGCGCGTGATGCACGCCAATGTTCGTAAGCCCGCGAAATCTGAGAAGACGCCGCGGCGCAAGAAGCTCGCAGAGCAACAGAACGACGCTATGGATATGTTCGTGACTCCAAAACGTCAGAAAAATGACGGTGAGATCAGTTTTTATTTCATAGGGAGACACATTTGGTAGATCAGTTGCTTGTTTGCTCGTATCGCTTGCAGTATTCCGCATGATTTGCGCGCGTTCGTAGCAAATTTATCAATTTCCTTGCAATATTTACTCCAATTTGCGTTTTGGTTACTAGCGCTTTTGTCCGTAGCGGAGAATCGTTAAACTAATGATGTGTACAATCTATTCGTGGTTAGGTTTTATAAATTTGAGAAATTTCATGAATTATACAAGATTCGATAACAAAACGATAACATAAATAAAATAAAATGTTATTCAAATAAATCACAATTGTAATAATCGTAGTCGTAAACAATTATAATACTTAATTTTAATACTTGATCTTAATACTTAATCTTTAAATCTGTATGTTTATGTATATTAGACATACAGATAATTCATTAAATGTGTAAAATTCATGTGACACATAATACGCGTCCACGAGATCTAATGATTGGTTTTCCCATTTTGTTGAAAAAATTTCAAAATATATCAGGAAAATTGTAACTCAGTGAATACACAGTGAATTACATTTGGATACCCATGCACACTTTTGGTGTAAAGTATGTTTGCATTGAAATAATAATCTTAAATACCAAAAAGTTATGAGAGTGGTAGTTAGACCTTACAAAGTATTTTGGTCCCTTTGTCTTTCTTGGCAAGGTGCAGTCCGCTTTATCTTTCAGATCTAGAGGTCACGGGTATCTCCCGCAGTGGCCGTGTGAGAAAGAAATCTTCCAAACTCGTTGACTTTGAATCACCAGATGATTTTACGGATAACAAGTACAAACGTCAAAAAGCACAGCAAATACAAAATCAGCAATTGTTGGACAGATATGAGTCTCAGCATATGTCATCAAATCAGTCGATCCAACATGGAAGTAGCGGAAGACAAAGGAAAAATTCCAATTCTAACTCTGGACAACAAAGAATTAAACAAGAGACATTATCAGATAATGAAATACAATCTTCAGGATCGGAATCAGATGATCCCTCTGGGTTGAATGAAGATGAAAGATATAGTATGGATTCTGGAAGTGATGATGATGTAGATCCTCTTATGATAGATGATAGAGAAGCAGGGTTTAGAAAGCTTGAACCACCTGGCCAAGAAACACCTTCACAAGCAAATAGTTTGTACATGCTTGAGAAATGTAAGAAAAAACTAATTATTAAAGATGGCAAAATAATAGGTAGAATGAAGGCACAACGTAAAGACAAAGGGGTATGTACATATGAAAGTTACTAAAGGGATTATTTTACAATTCGATGATGTTTTCAGAAAACAAGATTTACCGCGTACATGTTGTGGGCTAAAGAAATTAGACAAGAATTACTAGAGCAATGTCCTTATATGGGTATATAAGCTTCACTTGTTTCTCCATACTACGATCAGATTAGAAAACCAACGCTAATATTATTCGTGAAATGTTGCTTTTTGTAGATTTTGCAGCAATTTCTAAACGGTTAGGAGAACTGTGGGCTACAGTACCAAATCTGGAAAAATATAACTGGCGCAGACGCGCAAAACGCTTGGCAGCAAAACCTCATTCTTTACCTGCGAGTAAAGATGAGCCTGTTTGGAAAATGCCGCCGCCTGCTTCGCGAAAAAAATTCATTAATAAAATTGGTGGGTTTGTTGGTTCTCATGTATACATCATTTTTACAAGTATATCTCTAAAAGTTATGTGGTAGTTTATTCATCTTGATTTGCTTCTCGTGCACGCGTATTAGTCGAAAGTTTCTCAAATAATATATTATTTTTATGCCTAAGAATTATATGGTAGATGTTTCATTTGTTTTGTATGCATGTATCTCATTTAGGCATAGGCAATTTGAACAATATGATAGTGTAATATTTTATATTTCGTTTTTTTTTTTTTTTTTTTTTTTTTTTTTTTTTTTTTTTTTTTTTTTTTTTTTTTTTTTTTTTTTTTTTTTTTTTTTTTTTTTTTTTTTTTTTTTTTTTTTTTTTTTTTTTTTTTTTTTTTTTTTTTTTTTTTTCTATTACAGGTAATGGAAAAGAACAAAAGCCTGTTACTTCCAAAAAAACTATTCAACTAGGTCTACCCTCCGTTGTAGGAAATGTTCCGGTATCACCACCATCGAATCGAACTGGGAAAGATTTGGTTAATGAACCAATGATAGGAACAGGAATGTACAAAGTTGTTGGAACTCAACCTATTGATGTAGCTGCGCATTTGAAACTTCTGGGTGAGAGTTTAACAATCATAGGTGAACGGTTGAAGGAGCACGATGGACAAATAGCAGTATCAGGCAGTCTCTCAGTCTTGCTGGATTCTCTGCTTTGTGCATTGGGTCCCTTAATTTGTTTAACGCAACAGGTACCAGAAACTAATGGAGCAAAACACGAGACACTTTCACAAATGCTCGACAATATTGCATACCTTATGCCTGGTTTGTAATATATGTACAAATATCGAAAAAATAATCTAATAATATACAGTGTAAATATATCAGTTGAATAGACAAATACGATAAATATAAATGGAATGGCTTTGTCTACTAATGAAAAAGATTTTTAGAATCATATCTTTGTTATATTTTATCTGCTTGTAAAAGTATGAAGTTTTATATAAATAATATGTTTGTACAAAAAGTTACAATAAATATTTAAATAGTTCTATAACTAACTGTACATCATAACTAAAAAAACTTATTGATCTGGTAAAATAGAAGGGCATGTACAGAATAGATTTTGGTCTCCATATATATCATCTATCCTTCCAACACTTGGCCAAATTTTATTTCCCTTTACAAATGGCTGCAAACAAATATAGTTTACTTATCGTTTATACCTTTATTAACATTAATACGAACTTACAGCTGGAAATGCTGCTAATTCTCGTGAGTATGGTCTATCCCATATACTTGATATTACTTGTTCTTGTGTATGTGGGGCCATTTTCAATGGATTCTTAGCAATATCTAATTTGCCACTTTCTATATCAGCAATTTCTTGTCGTATAACTAAAACATGAAACATTGACGTATGTTGATAACTTCTAAAAAAGAAAATAACTTAATTAAATATAGTATTCTTACAAATTAAAGCATCACAAAATCTGTCCAATTCTTTCTTGTCCTCAGATTCAGTTGGTTCGATCATTAGTGTACCTGTTACAGGCCAACTCATTGTCGGAGCATGGAAACCATAATCCATTAATCTTTTAGCAATATCTACAACTTCGACATTTGCCATTTTTTTAAACTCTCGCATATCCAAAATAAATTCATGCGCTACTAATCCTGATTTTCCTTTATACAGGGTCTTATAATGCTTCTCTAGTCTTTTACTCATGTAATTAGCATTTAGTATAGCAACTTGTGTTGCTTTTCTTAGTCCTTTTGGACCCATCATTTTGATATAAGCCCACGAAATTGGTAAAATAGCAGATGAACCGAACGGTGCAGCTGATACCGCACCTGATTGTTTTATATTATTACGTCCATTACCCGAACAATTAATTACAGGATGAGATGGAAGAAAAGGTATGAGATGCCGTTTACTATACGCAAAAGATATCATCATCTTTACTACTTTTATATTTCGTATATGTACTAAACTAATATTACTTACACTCCAATAGGTCCCATTCCAGGCCCTCCACCACCATGAGGTATACAGAATGTTTTATGTAAATTCAGATGTGAAACATCACTGCCATAATCACCTGGACGACATAATCCAACTTGAGCATTCATATTAGCTCCATCTAAATACACTTGACCTCCAACTTTATGAACTATAGTGCAAATATCACTAATCGTTTCTTCAAACACACCATTCGTCGATGGATATGTTATCATCAAACAAGACAGTGTCTCCTGATGCTTATTTATTGTTTCTGTTAGATGTGCAATGTCCATAGAACCGTCTTTCTGCACTAAGATAGGCTTCACTTGCATACCGGCCATTTGAGCAGAAGCAGGATTAGTACCATGAGCAGAAATGGGAATCAAACAGACTTGTCGATGGCTGTTTCCATTCGACTCGTGATAACATTGTATAGCTCTTAGACCAGCATATTCTCCCTGAGCTCCACTGTTTGGTTGAAAACTTATTTTATCGTAACCCGTTATAGCGCAAAGATCCTGTTCTAACTCAGCAAATAACTGTTGATATCCTTTAGTCTGTTCGATAGGAACAAAAGGGTGTATGTCCGTGAATTTGCGCAAACTGCAAGGCATCATTTCCGTTGTGGAATTTAATTTCATTGTACAGGAACCCTGTTAAAATAGTTGTAAATATATTTAGATTATTAATAGCGCAGAATTAATATGTCTATGATTTAATTTACCAGTGGTATCATACTATGTACGAGGGAAACATCCTTATTTTCTAAAGATTTCATATAACGAACTATTCTTGTTTCGGATTGATAGCTATTGAATATAGGGTGTTGTAAATATGGGGTAGTTCGAACGAACTGCGATTTATTGAGACTTCTATCTAGGTACGTTTTTGTCTTATATATTTCTTCAACGGTCGTTTCTGTGGAAAATATCTTATAAATGTCATTTATATCTTGTTCTGTAGTAGTTTCATCCAAAGATATTCCAATACCATCCTCATAGTACCTACAAAAGATAATACCTGTATTTTATTCAGTTATTATATACTTTGATATTCCTTTGCCAGTTACCTAAAATTTATTTTAAATGCAGTTGCATTTTCTTTTATAGTTTTCAGAGACATTGTAGGCAATATTTTTATAGTGTCAAAAAAGTATTCATTATCCACTTTATTTCCTGTTTTTTCTAAACCTTTTGCTAAAATCAAACTCAGAAAATGTACTCTGTTTGCAATATTTCTTATTCCTTTAGGTCCATGATACACAGCATACATTGCAGACATATTTGCTAGTAGTGCTTGTGCAGTACAAATATTGCTAGTAGCTTTGTCTCTTCTGATATGCTGTTCGCGTGTTTGAAGGGCTAAGCGATACGCATTTTGACCATTTAAATCTTTCGTAACACCGACCATTCTACCAGGCATTAAACGAACTAATTTTTTACGACAAGCAAAGAACCCAGCATGAGGTCCTCCATATCCAAGTGGGACTCCGAAACGTTGACTAGTACCAATACATATGTCGACCCCAAATTCACTTGGAGGTTTGAGTATAGCTAATGCTAATAAATCAGTAGCAGCACAAATGAATGTCTATAATGAAATGATATCGATTATAATTAAATTTTTTTATTTTCCTTTCTACAAGGATCTTAAAGCAGGAAATACATACACCATCTGCATGCGATTTCTCCACGACATCCTCAAATGCATAAATAGATCCAGTTGTGTCTGGATATTGCAAAAGAATTCCAGCAATGTCCTTTGTGCTGGTGTCAACTCGAAAAATGTCTCCAATTTCAAAATCGAGACCTAAAGAAGTGGCACGCGTTGCGATCACACTTATTGTTTGAGGATGAACTCTATCAGAAATGAACAATTTCTTTCGTTTGTTACTCCTGCAAGTAAGAGCTAAGGCCTCTGCTGCTGCAGTGCCTTCGTCCAGAAGAGATGCATTCGCTACTTCCATTCCAGTTAAGTCACATATCATTGTTTGATAATTCAGTAAACCTTCAAGTCTGCCTTGCGAAATTTCTGGCTGATATGGGGTATACTGTGTAGTCCTATAATAAAACTTAAATAATTAATTGAACTATGTTAAAATTGCTTCAAATTACTTTTCAAAATAACATACCATCCTGGATTTTCGAATATATTTCTCATAATAGTGTGAGGAACGCAACAATTATTATATCCCATGCCAATATATGAACGCCATATATCATTTTTTTTCGAAATTTCTGTAATTTTCTTTAGCAGTTCATATTCAGCTAAAATGAAAACGTTATTTTATACAATTTGCAATCATAATGTTAGGATATATTTGAAACTATAGACAAATGTATTATAGCTTTCAGCTTTAGAAAATCACGTGAATTCCATTTTGACTGCACGAGACTGACCTCTGACCTAAGATATGCTCTACTCACAATAAAAAGTCATCGTATTTATGTTCCACAATAAAAATGATACATGTCTTAATAGGAAAAACTATCTATTTTTAACAATTAATTCGTCTAATGTGCAACTTATTAAAATATTTAATATGTAATATCAGCAATATCAGCATTAACACACTTTAAGGATATCTATACTCCGACCGTATTCATTTAGGTATCAGAGGGTTATCGGTTTGCACGTGTTTCATATCTATAGTCTTGTGACTTCACACGTTTTTACATAGCATGATCTTTTTTTTTCTCAACTGTTTCAATACACTATTTCAGATAAGTTATACATTTTACTTACTAACTGGTTGTTCAATTTTCAGTTCTTCTTTATAAAGAATTTTTTCTGGAACAGCTAGTTTTGTTAATTCTTCCAAACTCTATTAAATTAATAATATCGATAATTATTTCTAAAAAAAAAAGTTAATGTTCCTGTTGAATGAAGATATTACCTTGAAACCAATAGTTTCCAACATTTCTAATTGTTCATGCTGTCGTGGACCAATATGTCTAATTTGAAATTCATCTTTATTTTCTGGAAATAATTCACCAACTTTTTCTTTTTGTAAATTAGTTAATAATGATCCATATGTATGGTAAAACCTTGTATGTGTATTCAACAATCTTATATACTTTGATAATTTAAAAATGTGTAACATTATGATTTATAAGATATAAAATATTCAGTAGTAATTACGTTCCTAATATTAAACACTATAGTTGTTTGATAGATTCCAGAAAACTAAGAAGTTCATTAAAGTAAACAGAGGTTTTATACCCTAAGACATATCATCTTGTGATGTCACAACAGCTGATTATAGCTTGAACTTCTTGAACCTTAAGTTGTAAAATGTCTTAAACAATATTGGAAAATTACCTTTGTATATACATACATATTATATGTGTTTAAAATTTATTTTTAAAATGACAGTTTCAACTATTCAAATGAGGTACAACAAAAAAAAATTACTGTTTGTATTTTATATAAATTTAACTTTATTTATAAGATCTTAATTGAATCAACTATTATATGTATTCTTATAGTACAACTCACATTTTTATGAACTAAGAAAACTAAGTAAATATGTGATCAAATAACAGTCATTCAGATTTATTCATTTCATAAATTTATCTTTATTTTGAGTAAGAATTTTAGCGGAAGATTTTGCATCTAAGAATAACGATCCTACTTCTTCAACGTCTTCCTTTTTGATTATTGTTCTCTCGTTTACTTTGGCTGTTAATGCCGCAGGTGTTAAAAGTTGCACTACATATCTAAGCGTTGTTTTCGTACCTAATTCACCAAGGGCTGACAAAGCTTCATCTTCGATTTGCAACCCTTCCGTTGTAGCTCTTAATTTAACTATTTGTTCTATTTCCGATCTAAAATAAGGTAGTGTGCGTATGATTAATAACCTATCTAAGAGATCAAGAGGTATTCCATGTGGAGATATAATATCTTCCGTTCCTCTAATTACGCAACGACCACGATTCGTTGCAAAGATAACGATTGGAGCAATTGCACTTTCCAACGCACGATGAAGGTATGTGAAGGTCTCTATATCTAACATGTGTACCTCATCTATAAATAAGACTCCTGGGACTAATTCTGCAATTCCTTGATCAATATACTTATTTACTACTTTGTTTATTTCTTTGCGCAATTTATCTACAACAAACGATTTTAATTAAAATTTTAATTCTATTTTCAAAACAAACATCAGTTCCAAATTAAAATATCAAAATCTCTTAGACAATTTAGGGTTATTTTACCTGTAATTTCTGTCTTTTTAGGTTTCATTAATTGACCCATCATAGACATGATATCTTGACCACCTTGTGGTTTAGCATTAGCAACATCTAAATCATGCAATGTTACATCCTGAATAACTTCTTTTTTCTTATGCACATCACCCTTAGGTAAAGGAACATACTCTTCTGCTTCCAAGTCAAATTCAGTAGCAAAATTGTCACTTCTACCCTGTCTTTTTACAGCACCACTGTTTGCCTCAATGTAAATCACATCACCTGTTTCTACTTTCTCCTTTTGCAGGGACTCATATATAGATGGATCTAATTTTAACTGCTTTGTACCCTTAGCAGTTTTTAATCCAATCACTACATGAGATACTGTTTTTCCATATCCACCCATAGGATTTTCTGTTTCAATTGGAGTTAATTCTGTAACTTCCCCTTCATATACTTCCTTGGTCTCCTTGATTCTAAGACCAATGGCCCTTCTAAAATTTTCCATCAAAACTTCCGTCTTTTTAATTTCAGAACTATAGACTTCTGAACCTACCATAGGACAAAATGGCACTTTATTACCTAATTCTTGAGCAATAGCTAATGCAATTGCAGTTTTTCCAGTTCCAGGAGGGCCAGCTAACAGTACAGCTCTACCAGCCATTTTTTTTGACTTTATCATGTCAACCACTATGCCAGCTGCCTAAAATATACAGAAGTGTGAAAAATTTGTTCTACAAGTGCTTTTTTAACACTGCACCAAAAAAAGTATCAAAGATAATTATAACCTTTATTAGCATTTTACGTATTACATATGCCGATATAGTATTGATGTGAATAATTCTAACCTCACGAGCCATTTCTTGACCAACAAGGCCTGCTGCAGCTTGTATTGCTGCTCCATTTTCATCAAGACCAAGACCTTTTATGTGTGTATGAGCTGATACTCTCTGAGTCTTTGCAGTGCTCTTTACCTCTTCGATCTTCATTGTTTTCTAAAGATAAAGAAAAATCCAACTCTTCAAAAACACGTTGCATATATATTTGTTTGATTGATACAATTTCTACCCTTCCCCGTCATATTGAATCGCCATGGAAACGAAGTTTCAGAAATCAATGCATAGGGAGCGTCCCAATTGAGTGAAAAATTCATAACACCGCGAAAATTGAATATTTTTTTTAAAGCTATGATATTTTTGACATATGTAACTAATATCGAATCAATTGAAAATTCTATAAATAAAATGTGCATTATGAAATGAATCATACGAAATGAATAATGTTGTCACTAATGTATAATCCTTATTAAAAAGTAAACTTACTAAAAAGTTTATGAGTGGTTTAGTTTTCCAACAATAGATGTCTCATAAACATATGAATTTCTCCAAAGTGCTCGCATAGGTACTATAACAGTATATAAACATGTTTTGAAAGTAGCATATATGGGTCCGATACACCTGGTAGAATATTGGAACAAAATTTCATATAATTTAATAATCCATTAATTTGACAACGTTGAGTTATGTTCCTTCACATCATCCTAGGTGTGACGATGACCCCACGTTTTGACCTTTTTTCATTTTATTTTAATTATGCTCTTCAACAATTACATTTATTACAATAATTTAAAAAATGTAGTAATGCAAATAACAAATAAAATCAAGCAATTCTGTACAAAAAATTATACTTTATGCAATAATTTCTTTTCTTTGTGTCTGCAATTTGATACTACAACCTGAGTATGCATTACTTGAAAAGAAATTTTATTTTTATATAATTCATTACTATTATGCACTATTGTTGCTGTTGCATAATTTGTTATTACTTGCTTTAACATAAATATACAAAGTAATTCCAACCATCGTTAAAGTTATCCCAATTACTTGATTTATACTCAATGTTTCATGAAATATCATTTACAAGGAGAGTGCGAGTCCTTCGGGTCACCGATTTAGTTGAAACTTTGCAGGTTTGTAGAGATCGTCATGCAGTTTAAGAAAATATATCATTATAGCGGCAACTACTCAATAGCTTTTGAGATATTTACGATTAAAGTTTTATTACTACATTAATTACTCCTTTATTTTCAACAGCTTCAAATCGAAGTTGTAGTCTGACGGTAATAGTTGAGAATTTGTATGCTCGAGGACTGCAGTTCGATTCCGGTTCATGGTTAGTACTTTTTTTCAGCGTACTTTTTATTTTATATTCATTTTTCGCCTATGAAATCATTATAAATAAAAAATTGTAAATAAAATTTCTTAATAAAAAAATTTATTTTTTACCCTTTCTTAGGCCAGTTTATATTTATTACTTAATAAGAATATTATGCAAGAAAAACACTTTTTTATAGCAATCTTATTTACTAGTAACTAATTATTAAATTAAACATTGTATAAGAATGTTGCTTATAATTCCAACTTTGTTGCACAGCTATAAATGTTCACGAATTAATTACAACAACTTGGAAATTTATTAATTTTCTGCTGCCTTAATATTTTAATAAATAAAATTATAAAGTTTTCTACATTCTTTAATAAATTCAGCCGAAACAGCGGTTTTAATTAGACAATCAGCATTCATTTCTTTACCTGGCAGACGACAAATATGCAAAGGTACGCCTTTACAACGCAATTATAAAATTTCATAAATTAAACACAGAAATTGAGCGATTTGTTAATTTTTCTCCAAGTGAACAGGAGAGTGCATGGGAAATGAGAAAAAATTACAAACAAACGTCGGAAGCATTGTTGTGTCCATGCAGGTGTGCCTGCATCACGAAAAGAATGTAAGTATTTGTATTAACATAACCTTTAGTTATAATTAAATAGTGTAAGTTAGAAAAGACAATATTCTGTTGAAATAAACAGGCACATGCAACAATAGAAAAATATTGGAGTCATGGAATATCATCAGCGTAGATGCCAAGAATTATACTTTATAGCGAGAAAAAATTGAAGCAGCAATATAAATATGTAAAGTATGGTATGTCTATTGCATTCTAAGTCGGTTAACCATATGACATACAAGATAGAAATCTTTGATGGTCAAATAAAGATTGAAGAAATGGAGATGGTTTATGGAGACAAAAAGGAATACAATTAATTTAGGTGATGGCCTCTTCTAGCAACGATATATGGAGAATAGAGTGAGATTGAAAGGTATGTTGTGTTCCTGATATAAATGAATATTAATATCAGTGGTCAAAGTCAATGATCATCGCTAATGTGTTAAGTTTGAATAGAAGGAATGAGAAGAGGAAATGTGTGTTATGTCAAATCAAGAAACAGAAAAGAGGCAGCATATGTATCAAGAGAGAAACTTGTGTGGCATTGATTTGCAAATATGAGGATCATTGAAGAGATGGAGAATGAACAATTGGTAATAGTTATGAATGGTAAAGTTAAATTGAATATATAATGTAAATGCTGCATTAAGGCAAAAATTTGTAGTAATATCTATAGGGATTGGAAACTATAAAAAAAGCAATTATAATGGTGCTGTGGCACATCATGGACTTCATTGGGCCAATAAAGCCAATGTCAAAAGGAGGTAAAAGGTATGATTATTCGAGAAAAGAACCATTTGGTTGACTGATTTATAAATAACTAAAGATTTAATATGAAATATTATTGATGAAGGATTTTTTCTATTATAGGAGACTTACAAACATGAGTAATATTTATATGCAAGAGCCAGCCACTAAGGGTAAAGTAATAAGTATCATTTTATAATATTTCAATGCATTGTATATCTGTTTTTAAAAATTTAACCGATATACAATATTTACTTTCTAAATTTCTATATCAATGTATTAAATAATTTCTAATTTGAATTACACTAATAAATAATAAATTTTATTAAATTTGATTTTATAAATATTTTACATTAATCAAACTAATATGTTTGTTATAACAAGGTTACAAAGAAAACAACTGTTGGTAATATTGAGTTAGAATTATGGGCAAAAGAAACTCCCATAGCATGTAACAATTTTATACGATTCTGTATGGGAGGTTATTACCATGACACTGTATTTCATAGAATTATCCAAAGATTCATGGTGGTGATGTCAAAGGTACAGGAGGAGGTAGTAAAAGCATATCTGGTGAACTGTAATGGAGAAATTTAAAGTGAGGCTATATTTAAAAATAAAATGAATTCCTTTTTTATTCGAAAGTAATTATTGAAGACATGTGTTTTAGAGCAAATTTCATACAAGATTACGTTTTTGTCGACGAGATTTAATTCTGGCTATGGCTAATTCTGGAAAAGATGACAATGGTTCCCAATTCTTCTTTACTCTTGGTTCTACACCAGATTTGCAGAATAAACATACAATCTTTGGTAATGTTACTGGAGAAACTATATATAATATGCTTAAATTTGAAGAAGCACTTGTAGATGAGGTAAATTTAATGTCTTCAAGAAAATATATCAAGAATTGACATAAGTATGATATTTCCTCCTTTTTTGTAGAATGATAGATCACTTTATCCCTCAAGATTGATAAAAACTATAATATTGAACAATCCATTTGCTAATACACCAAGAATAATAATACAGGAAGGTGAAGAAGCAAAGGACAGTTCAAAGGCAAAAACAGCTGTAATATATTAAAAATCATATATGCCTGCAGAATTTAGCCTTGATAGTATTATTCTTT